TCTCTTTCTCTCTCTTCGCCGCTTTTATTCACCTTTAATAGCGAATTCGATTGAACACACTAGTGCATACTGATGCAGATTAAAGCCTGCGGTACATTTTAATCCATCTAATTATAAAAACATGATGTAACGTAAAGCAAACTTGGAATGTCCGGTATATATTCTGCGGAAGACAATTCCGATCGAATAAAAAAATGATGCTGAACATTTGCGCGGGGATTTTGCTTAGGGATACTGCGCATATTTTTACATCAATTTGCGCACGACGTGTGCGCAAGTGCGTGCAACCGAATTTGCTATATGATATTCCTCGTTGCTCGCACGTTACCCTCTCCCCTTTCTCTCCTCCTCCACGTGCGGACCACGAGTCTTCGTTCGTCTCTGCCGGGACGAGAGGTCTCTCGCCGTCCTTTCTTTTCTCTCTCTCTCTCACCCTCCTGTTGTACACCTCCGCACACATCCGCACGTTCATCGTCGGCCTCCGTCTCTTTTTCGTTCTCCCCCTCTTCTCGCCGCGAGAGAGAGTCTTCCTCGTGCACCGGGATTCCGTCGACCCTCTTCTGCTGCCCATGACTGCCTTCCGTCCATCGCCGGTGAAACTCTTCTTGAGACTCGTGACTGAGGGGGAAAAAAAAGAGAGATGAAGGAGGGGAGGGGTCAAATTGAAGTATGGAGACTCAAACTTTGCTCACGGATCTCTGTCATAACAACGTGACAGTTAATGGTTTAACCGGATCTAATGAGACCAACAACGCGCGTGGATCATCTATTCACGCGCCAGCCTCACCGGACATTTATCTCGACAAAATCGATCGCATATACATTTACAAGAGAGAGTGATTTATCTCCGATGATGATTCAAGTTTCGTGGAAACGCGACGACGTCCTTCTTCATTCGTTCAGTTTCGAGCGATCCTCAATTATAAATGCACATCTAAAATGTTTCCGAACTGAAGCGATAAAAAACTGTCAAAAATTTACAACAAGATTTTATTGCTTTTAATCGAAGGTATCGCAATTTAAATAAAATAATTTGATTAAATTTCATTAAATAAACACACAAATTATTTTCAATTCTCTCGCTTTTCTTGAAAATTGTTTCAAAACTCTCCCCAGGCGTTCCACGGTCTTTCAAATGCGTTTGAACGTCGTGCGGGTCACGTAGGGAATTAAGAGCGACATACAATTTTAAACTTCCGTTATCTCTTTATCGATTGAAACCCGAAGTTGTTCAGCCAACACGTATAGACACGATGCGTGCGTCAGCTTTCCGATTGATTTCTTTTTTTTTTCACACTCGTTTACTAAAAAGCCGCGTCCTGTCGCGTTTGTTGCAGATGTCACAACGGCTGGAAGGGTTCGCAGTGCAATCAGTGCGTCCGGTACCCGGGCTGTCTCCATGGCACTTGTCAGAAGCCGTGGGAGTGCGTGTGCGATGAAGGCTGGGGCGGACTATTCTGCAACCAGGATCTCAACTATTGCACGAATCACAAGCCGTGCCTGAACGGCGGCACCTGCTTCAACACCGGCCAGGGCTCATACACCTGCTCGTGCCCGCCGGACTTCACCGGCACCGACTGCGAGACGCCACTTTTCGACTGTCACTCGAAGCCCTGCCAAAACGGCGGTACCTGCACGCTGGAATCGTCTACGAGCTATTCCAACGGCACCGCCGGCGGCGAATTGTCCACCAGGAAGCATCATCGCTACCGTTGCACCTGTCCGCCCGGTTGGCGCGGTCGGTATTGCGAGACCACGACGAAATCTTGCCGGGACTCGCCCTGCCAGCACGGCGCGACCTGCGAGAATGATTCGACACGCGGCTACTTGTGTCATTGCCCGGCCGGTTACACCGGCGCCGACTGCGATCTGCAGACCGACGAGTGCAAACCCAATCCCTGCATGAACAACGGCACGTGTAAAGATCTGTTTAACGGCTATCAGTGCACTTGCCCGATCGGCTTCGTCGGCGAGCGCTGCGAGACCAATGTGGACGACTGTCAGGGGAGTCCATGCTTGAACGGCGCCACCTGCGTGGATCAAGTGAACAGCTTTCGCTGTCAGTGCGTGCCCGGTTACGTCGGTCGGATGTGTCAAAATAAAGTCGACTACTGCATAGCGAAACCATGCGCGAACGGCGGTCACTGCACGACCGGGACCAACGATTATCACTGCGCGTGCAAACCCGGTTTCAGCGGCAAGGACTGCAGCGTGGACATCGACGAGTGCCAAAGCGCGCCATGCCTAAACGGCGGCACGTGCCGGAACCGCGTGAACGGCTTCTTGTGCGAGTGTCTGACGGGTTGGTACGGTGACACCTGCGGCGAGGTAGCCGGAGCCCGTCCACTCCATCAGGCATTACCACCAACTGCATCATCATCATCCGTGCCTACATCGAGCACCGGTTATTGGCCCGGCAAATTGTCGAAGCACGTCGCTTCCAAGGACGCCAACTTGACTACGGAACACGTGGTGATGATCGCTGCTTTGTCTATCGCGGTTCCGGCCTTCGTGCTGTGCGCCGCGATCGCCGTGATGTACATGAAGAGACGGCAGAAGCGGGAGCAAGCAAAAGCCGACGAAGAAGCAAGACTGCAGAACGAAAGAAACGCCGTGCACAGTAGCATGAGCAAGCGTAGCGCCAGCACCATCGGCGTGATTGGCAGCGGCGGCGGCGGCGGCGGAATCGGCATTGTTGGCGCCGGCAATGGAATCGGCAGTGTCGGCGCTCTTCTCAGCGGCGCGAGTAGCGGTCTAATCGGCACCGGCGGTGGCAGTGTTTGCGCACTAGGCACCGGCGACGCGCACATGATCAAAAACACCTGGACGGCGAGCAAAAGTGTCAACAACGTGGCGTCGGCAGCGCGCCAGGACGATCTAGACTCGTCGTTTCAGACCGACGTAACGCTAGACAGTTCTTGTTCGGGCTACAAGCCCGAGCCGGTGCTGCAAGATTGCCGAACGACAAGGACGACGAAGCAACTGAACACGGAAGCGGCCGCCCATCGGGCGTCCGCTCATCTCTACCAAAAGGAGAAGGACTGTCTCGGCCTGGGCCTCGGCATCGGGGTCTTGGAGAGCGCCAAGAGATCGTCCGTATTCACCAGCAACACGTCGGACAGTTGTTGCGCCGCGGAGGCTGCGCTAATGAAGAGGCCGACGTTATCAGAGGCCAACGGCGTCGCTGGCGGCGTCAGCATCATCGGCAGTGGTAGTAGTGGCCCACCGGGAAGTGGTGGTGGTGTCGCGGACAACAGCAGTTGCGGTGTGTATGTGATAGACGATCATTACAGACACGATGCCTCGCTGGCGGCGACGCTCGCGACGGAAGTGTAGTTTAGAGTCCGACGCCGAACGTATAGTAGACTCCCACTTAGAGTGATAGAGCGAGAAAGAGAGGAGCGCGTGAGTGAGATCGGAGCCGGTGCGTGTGCGTGCGTGTGAATTTAATGGACCCAACCCCGTTCGGTTCTCTTCGATTTTCTCGGACGGCGCCGTCGCCGCGACGTTCTCGGGACGCGGCGCCCTTCGTCCCGGATGCCTAGAAGCGTTTGTTTCTTTTTCTATTTTTTTTCCTTTCCGTTTTTTTTTTCCCCCTTTATATTTTTATCACATCTCCTTTTTGCGAGTGCCGCGTGTACTTGTGCATCCGCGATCGACATCGCTGTTTAGGACTTGGCGAATATGAAACATCGGAACGAGAAACGCGAGCGCTGCCTAGTTTGAATCGACGACGATTATGCTGGACGAGAACGACGACGGACTGGCCGAAGACGTTCGATCGGGGCTGATTGAGAGGCGTTAGGGGAATTATAACGCGATGCTGTGGGGGTCGGTCGGTTTCCTCGACGGCCGGCCGACCCATCTCTAGGTATTAATATTATATCGTAAAGTGAAAACTCTGTACAGAACTAATTTATTATTATTGTTATTTACTTATCGTATTACCGATTGCTATTAATTATTATTATTATTAATATTATTACATCCCGTATCGCATTATCATTGTTCCCGGCATTAGTTCTTTTTCGAATTTGTGTGACCGAGCTCTCGGCTGCCAGTGCGAGAGTGTGACAGCGAAAAAAATCTTATATGTATGTGTATGTCGTATCCTTGTGAATGAGCGGTGTGCGCGGTGCGCGTGTGTGTGTAGTTTGCGAGCGAGAAAATTCCGACAACGGATCAGCATCTTGGAACGACGTTGCTGCTTTGCATTCGAGATTAACGTTTTTCACTTAACGTTTTTTCTTATTCCTTTTTTTTTTGTCTTTTTCTTCTTTTTTTTTACAAACGATGAGATGCATTCCTTTTTGCAGTCAAAATGCCGTGGATTTCTGATTATGTAGCGACGTTCAGTAGCGCGGTCTTAGATTCGATGAAAAGCGTGAAAATTGACGACAAAAATAATATGAAAAAAAGTGTTCGCTCTAATTCTTCGGGAGTCTTCATTTCGGTCATAATCTCGAAACGGTCGAACAATTTATCTCATCTTTTGATATCGTTTCCATGCTTTTCTTCAGCCGGCCTGAAAAAAAATGTTTGAAAAGACGGAAATCAACGTGCGCTTGACGGAGTTCCGCCTTTTTAATCAGAAAAACCATTTTGTCATTCCATTATGCCGGATTGATCCTGGTTACTCAGCTTAGATAAAGGTGATAAATTTCAATAAAATAAACACGTGGGATAAAAGTGACAATTAAGCAACGCGACAATTAAGTAGACTCTTTTGTAGGAAAAAGAAAAAAAAAATACCAAAAACCGTGAAAGGGAAAGCCGGCGCACGCCAAAGTCCGAAGGTGTCTTCGGTATCTTTTCATCGAAATACATCGAATCTCTGTTAAGCTCAAAAACTTGCTTTCGCGGTGTGAGAAATGCCGAAGAAGTCGCGCGGCGCTGGCTTTTCCCTCATCGACAAAATATTTCCTACGAATCTTCCGACCACAACACGCAACGGTGTGTTATTCTTCGACGAAAACACTGCTCGCGCTACGTACGGTTGAACAGGACGAATAGATGTGTATAAATTATGCAGATATATATAGAGATATATAAATAGAAAAATAAATATATATATGCAAATGAACAGTGAGAGATAGAGACCCGACTTCGTCGACGACGGCGTTTCGACGACAAGGCGGTTCGTTCCGAAGCGATTCAGCGCCGAAGTCAACGAGAGTTTCGAATCGTTGGGGGAAGCCGAAGGAACGATTATCCTTGCGCAAAGGGACGTCGGATCGAACGTGGCCGCTTTTCTTCTTCCATTCTACGACGATTAGTGAATCGCGTAGTGCGATCGATTTTTTATCCGAATGCAAACTTTTCCCAAGACGTCTGAAAGAACTGAAGAATATCTGAAAAATTATAACATTTTGTATTACAAAAGTCCTAAGAGAAATTATAATCTTTTAGACATTTCTTTCAGATTTTTTTGTAGATTGTCTTCTGAACTTCCGCGTTTGCGTTTTCAGCACTTTCCGGCTTGTATCTTTGGAAGGTAGAGAAATCGATCGAACTACGATTGAAGTTTCGCAAGTTTGTCTGTCTCTTTTGCGATTATTTACGTCCGGCAGATGAATTCGCGAACAATAGACTCGCGTCATCCGCGTTCTTTTGTGCAAGAAACGAAAACCCGGGAAGATCGTTCGCAGACTTTTCGGCTTTCGTGAATTGATTCCCGCACGGTTCCGAAGGAACGCCAAACCGCTTCGTTTCGGCGGCCGCTTCGCTGACTTCGTTCGCGAATACGTGATAGATAAGTGACGATTATTGTGTGTGTTGTCGCACGTTGTCGATGATGATAACTAATTATTTATTTATGACTGATGACTACGATTGCGACGATTTTACACAGCGTAAAACAAAAAAAGAATAAATAGCGATTAAGCGCGCCAACGACGACGATGATGACGATGACGATATTATCGCGTTAGAAACGCGTGTGCGACGAGAAAAAGAGAATGTGTGAGAGAACGAGCGCGCGCAAGAGAGGGAGAGAGTTGTAGCGAACAAAGATTCGATGATGTTCCTGTTACGAATAATGGTAATTAAATAAACGAAATGCAAGTACCGACTAAGTCAGGCTTATTTTCGGGTCTCGTTCGCGCGCGAGGGGGGCGCGAAACGGGGGGGGGGGGCGTTCTCGCGTGTACAACGGTAGCAGCGCGGTTTTTGGCGACCGTACATACCGCAATCGCGGATCGATCTTATTTTCTTATCCGGCTTCCACTTCCCGATCCTCCAACAGTCGCCGTCGCGCGCGCACAGACGCGGAACGCGAAGCGCGTACGTATAAATGCAAGATTATATTGTACGAATTACAATGTGTAATAAAGCTGTTGTCATTTTTTGTACTTACACTTCTTCGGACGATTTGATACGCTATCGTTGAGCGGTTTCCAATATTCCCATGCGTCTCCTCGCCTCTTCGTCTTTTTTTTCGATCTTCCGATCCTCCTCTTCCTCTTTACACATTTCCGACATTCAATATTCATTAGACTTTCGAATTTTTTTTCTCTCCTTTCTTTTTTTGTACTAATGATATCTACGGGAATATTGTCCTTCGTCCTCTGCTGATAGTGGCCTTTCGTTCGTAGCATTAATACGAAGATTGTAAAAACTTTCCCAGGCGTACTCTCTACCCCGTTTTTGTATAAAATAAAAGGATAACACACAGCGTATACATACACAGACACACACGCAGCACATCTGTATATTTGTAGTAGAAGAATTACGATTATATTATTATTAATTATTAATATTATTATTATTATGAAAACGTGTAAATAGATGAATTGTCAATATAACGATGTCACGCAAATGACAGTGAACGACTAATAATAATGATGATTAAAAAATGAATCTTGCGTTGTCCTATTTCCGCTCTCATTATTCAGTGAAATCACCTTTACAAAAATTCGATCGTATAAAGTAGCGAGTCGCTATTTTTGCGCTCGTTCGTTGTCGGCCGCGTTTAAGCAGGCAAGACACGAATGCAGCGCGCAGTGGACAAAGGCCGCAATCGGTGCGATGCTGTCGGGGCTGCACTCGCGCGAGCTCTCGACATGTGACGTCGTCGCTTGTGGGAAGATCGACGGGAGAAAGGATCCGACGGACGGGTCGAAGCCGCGAGGAGGAAGTCGCATCGCCGCGAGAACGACGCGAGATAACGATAAGCCCCGTCGTGCAACTTTATGTAACTACGCGAATTAATCGCGCATGCCGGATTCGAGGAAGCGCGTCATCCCGCCGGTATTCACGATGGCACATATATTCAACCTGCAGTCGCGCGGCAAATATAGATAGATTAAAGGGAAATTTATTCATTCGGCAGTGCGCTAAATTCTCATTGAAATTCCCTGAAAAGCAAGCGGAGTGCGATGCGTTACGAGGAAAAGAGAAACTCGGCGTGGTAACGCCGGGTGTCACGCCCGTGTAATCTTAATAACGAGTTGTTGGTTTTCTTCTCATAGAGCACTCTTATGTAAAAACACGCGGCGGCGCTGTCATAATCGTCGCCTGTTAATTGGAAATGTTAAAGCACGTGCGAGTGCGCGAACGTATTAAACCCATTTGCAGGAATTTACTCAATTATTGCCGTTGCAATTATCCTCCGCGGTTTCCCATTGCGTTCGAGTCTCAAGTAGAGCGAATAATTTTTGTCGTCGTCTCGTGATCTGCCATTTTACATTCCCGCGTATTGTTTTCGCTGTAAATACATCCTTTTCTATTGTTATATGTTATAGGTAACGCGGAATTATGTATTCAATACACCGCGTGTGTATCGGCGCGGGTAGAAAACCGGAGGAAAGCCGCGAAGGAGCCCAAGTCCATCGGCCGCGAGCTACCCACGACTCATCCTGTCGTTACACGTAACGTATATATTTCGTCACTGGCGCATTTCAATTATTACAATTTTAACGATTATTATCAATAATCGAGGAGAATTAATTGCGCAATCTCGTTACATCCATCCTCGTGAAACGATTAAAGTAATGTTTCGAGAAGAATCGTACGTCGTTGCTGTTAATCTTAGCGAGCGGGATAAAAATGATTTCCACCGTGATACATGCGCACATTTAATTATTAACGACACAATTCAAAATTGACTTGTTAATAACGAGAAGGAGTCAATTATGATCGAAATACGGTAGCGCGAAGGCTGAGGTGCGGCGATCTCATTACGCCCGTTGTAAAGTAGTTAAAATAACAGGCTCGCGGGATCGTGTATTCAATACACCGCGTATATCGGCGCGGATAGAAACCGGAGGAACTTCGTGAAAGCCGTGGAGGAGCCAAGTCCATCGGCCGCGAGCTACCCACGACTCATCGTGTCGTTATATACGCGACGGTTATTACCTGCAGCGTAGCTGCTGCTGCCGTAGCCGCTGCTGCCGTAGCCGCTGCTGCAAACCCATTACGATTGCCGTGGCATTCTTCGCGTTTGTCCTCCTCTCCCCCCCCCTCCTCCCCCGCCGTCAACTTCTTCCTACACCTTCCTACACGCCCTCGTCCTGTCCCTCGACAACGATGACGACCACGACGCTTTATCCGTCCGGTCTCCCCGACTTGGCTCGTTTCAAACCTCATCCCCGCTGCCCCCCCCCCTTGGCGGGCAGAAGCGACCGGTACTTGGCCGTCGTTAATCGCGATTTATCTCGCAAAATTCATGTAATTTACGAGCGAGCGCGAGTAAGGATTTCGTCACGCCGGCTAGTCGCGATCGGGTTGAAACTCCAAGCGCCGTCCGTCCACATGACGCATTAGCGTCAATCTGCGGAATTGCCGGCTGTTTTATTCAGCTTATTGCACACAGATGATACCGTTGATATCAATCGACATCATATTTGAAAGGAATATTCGCACGGAAAAGAGAATTTGTTTACAGGCGCGTCCCGCGTTTTTAAGAATCTTGGAAAATTGGTGGCAGAGAATTTTGGAGACGGAAAATTTTTGTGAAAACGTCCCTTCGACGAGTTCTGCTTTTATTTTACGATCGGCCAATTTTCTCTTTAGTTCAATATTTGTCAATTTTACTTGAAACTAAAGTGTTTTTTTTTTATTATTTCTCTAAGTAAAAGTCTATAAAAGGCATTTACGAGAATAACATTGCGTGTTACGTGCGAATAAATTGCAGGAATTATTTTGCATTACACCGCTGAAATTATGTTTTTTCCAACAAATTCCTGCATAAATGCTGACGCGAGATTGGATAATTCACTTTTGGCGTATCGATTCGGGCTTGCTTCGGAAAAAAAGTGATTATTTCGATGGAAACCATAATGTTCGCCGACGACAGCTTCTGCCGTGTACGACACGAAGCAATTTTTCAGACCGTTGCTTCCGATCGGTGTCCGACGCGGCGAGACGGAGGCACCGAATTCTGTATGGATTGTGTCGACAGTGCGGCTGGGCGTCGGCGTGTTGGCTTGGTTTTCGTGGTCGTTGGAGCGCGACGGGATCGCGAAGGGCCGGTCGCAAACCCTATCCCTGATCGATGGCGACAGTTTGCGACGGTCGGTCGGCTCTCTTCCCGCCGTAATTCGGCGCTTTCGCTCCGCTGCCCTTCGAGATTAGAAAGGATCACGCCTTCGCGCAATGAGATGGATGAACTCGAAATATAGCACGATCTTGTTATCCATTTTATCAGTCGCGATTCTCAGCCAGAGAACAATTTTCCAGAGTGTCTATTAAAATCTTCCTCGGGAAAAAAGATTCCCGAGGATTCCGTGATTTTCTATCGTGCGCGTTTCTCGATGTTTTTTCGTAGACTCTTTACTTAGAGAAAGAAAAACAAAACCATTCGAGTTACAAGTGCCGAATTAAAGAGGAAACTGGCCGATCGTAAAATAAAAGCAGAAATTTACTTTCTCAATTAATTCGACGCGCGATAAGACAAATGTGTAATGCGCGCTCTCGCGCATTATAATATTCCTACAAATTGTAAGTGAAGATGTGCGCGAGAATGAGGCGGAGGCGAGGAGGACGCTGTGTGCCGCCTCTCGTGCTCGTAAACTCAGCACACTCGGCGATGTTCGCCAAAGCTGAGGGCAAGTGAAAGTTCTTCGAAAGACATACAGAGAGTCGAGAAAGAGACGAGTGTTGCTCCGCACACGCGTGTGCGCGAGCGCGTGGCCTCTTACTTTTTCGCACTTGTTCATCACGCGCGGCGGCGTGCACGCGCGTGTGCGATGCAACATTGTGCATGTCTCCCGAACGCGCGAGAAGAAACAAATCGCTGCCCTTTTTCAATGAAGATAACAGAGTGATTAGACATTTACAGCGATTAATAAAATATCGATGCAATTAGAAGAAAAACAATCATGATATAAATTATTTTCTCGCGACTTTTTCGAGAGATAGATATTTTTGTCTTCATACGATCTCAAAAACTTGGAGTTAATTTCTTAAAAAAAAAAAAGAAGAAAATTCCCCCATTAATTGATATTCAGGAAGATTCAAGTAAAGTGATAAAATCTTATAAATCACCTTCAATTTAACTTTCGCTTTTAGCGTCGCGGGCAGCCCCGAGGCCGCGAATAGTCTTATTAGCCGAGCAACGGCGATTTCCTCGGCTAATCGTTGCGGGATCGGCGTAACACACGATCTAGAAGGAGCCGCATCGCGTTACGTGGTGCATCCCAGTATTATCGTTCGGTTGTAGCAAGCTAAACGAGCGCATGTAAAAAACGGAAGCAGCAACAGCCTCCGCCTCTCTCCTTCTCTCTTTCTCCACCCCTCCCCCCTCC